CTATGCAAAAATATTCGTTACCTCTCTGGGCGAGTTATCCGGCTTTAGCGAATTTACCATGCACGTGTCTTGTACGGGTGTCGCATTCATTTACGGCACATCGAATATGTCGATCTCTGGGACCGTTTGAACATACAGCGAGCTCACTATCACTTAGTGATATTAGATCACTTTTAACGTCTGTTCGTTTAGGAAAACTCACAAATTTCAGGCATCACCGGCTGAAACCAACCACACGCCAGATTTCAATCCTTGCAATTGCCGTCCTATTGTATCTCGGGCTAATTGTTCGGCGGGTGCGACTGTGCGACAATGAGATAAATCAATTTCTATGGACCTCTCCAGTGACGTCGTGTAGAAGGAAGGGATGATGATGTTGCATTGAAGATTTGGTTGCTTTTATTAAAAGTATACACGGTAACTTCGGCAATTGTTGGCGCATTTTTGTCGGCATAACTTCGAAAAGTGTAACAATTGTCGAAGGATAGGAAAAGGGGAGGAGCTTGGGGTAGGGTTTCGTTGTCTCATCAGAGCGCACCCTCCACGATAAAATATGATTAATTCATATAGTTTCTGCGGTTGATGGTTAATTTTTAATATATGAATGGTACTGCCAACGGTGACTACTACGACGACAACAGCGAGTTTAGAACTTACCATTTGTCTAGGATATAACACCTTTGCCCGGAACCTCCGCTGGATCTTCATGTCTACCATCTGTCACTGTCTGCAAAAATGTCTAATAGCAATTATCTGTGTTCTGATACTTCCTTCAATGAAAACAATTGTTTTTGCATTGCCATGGTCATCTGGGAGGAGGCTCGCTTCTAATGTCGCTGGTCCACCAAGCACTGGGAAGCTCCTTCCGTACCGCTCCGGTCCGTACATCATTGAATCAATGAAGAGATTAGTGTGAGATGGTGTTATATGCAAAGTGCGAAAAGAGAATGAAAGAAATACGAAAGGGGTTAGTTTCAAGAAGTGATAGTTTCATTGGATTCCCCAACTAAAGCAAAGTAAGCATTTATAAACTTATATTGAGACTATATGGCTACTTGGGTACTCATAAGGCCGTCAGAATGCTTCATCGGTTGCGAAATGAAGTATTTCTGAAAGTGATGCGTTATATTTCTCAATGTTTTGATTTTATCCTAACGTTACCTCAATATTATAACACAGACGCCATCTGTCGTATACACTGTGATGGGCAATACACTCAACAGATGTCTGTAGTGTGTAAACTTCAAACGCAATTGGGAATTGAATTGATTATGCGCGCCACAAGTGTCGGTACTACCAACTAAGAAACATTTAAATTTACCATTAAAAGCGATGTCGATCCAATCACTCTCTCATACTCGAAATGTGCTACGACCAAATTGGCACAACGACGCCCTATACGCTCTCTGACCAAAGCGCAGGGCAAGTGCTCAGTTGCTGACTAGGACCAAACCCCAACATACGACATGCGGGGTCTACGGTATTCGCATTACCGAAATAATAGGTTACTTCTACTATATTTAAAATCAATATGAAGAAAAATGCACGAGAAGTTCACAAAACAGCTTAACGAACTCTACGTCAACCATGCGGTCGTGTCTTGTACACCACCCCACAATATTTTTTTTTTAATTCAATCAAAGCGCACCCCAAAGGTATAAACCTGGAGGGATAAGCATACATGCTATTTTTAAACTACCCAAATTTGGGTAGAATCCACCCAGATCGGTCAAAACTGAACCTACCCAAAAATGGGTAAACTATGTTGAGAGTGACAAGTTCACAAATGAATAAAGTCGATCGGATTCATGTCGATGTTGTCAATTTGTCAACTTGAAAGATCCCACCGACCTCGGCTGGAATTGAACCCAGACCCACCGGGGTGTTAGAAAGCAGTCACGCTTACCACTACACCACCGGCGCCGGCTAAATCAAATCAAAATAGGCGTAGCAAAATAGCCTGTTTTGTTTTGACTTTGTAGTGATTATCCAGTGTGCAGTTCTGTATTTTAAATATTAATCAATGAATGAATTTAGAAAAAAACGATGTCCTACCAACAATCAATACGAAACTAACGATTTTAAATTGGCTCACCACTTTAGTAGCCTATTGGTCCCAAGCAAACGATTAACGTACCCTATTCTAGTTGAAATTCTATTACTACACTATGTTTGTTTTGATTCGCTATGAAAGTTTGACAGATAACATCAGGGGTGTGTGGATTCATGCAGAACATGCAGGGGTGAGTGAAATAGCTTGGGACTGCTTGGGACCGTTGTTCTGGTACTGAGTGAGCCAAAAATAATAATGATTTTCTTCGGGACCCAGTGGTCTTAGAGACCTCTATGGTCCTACTGACTTCTCGACGCAAGATCTCACTAATACAACCTAGCTAGTGTAGCCGTGTAAAACCGGTTTGTTTATTATTTTCAACCACGAAATCAGCTGTCAAAGTGTTCGACTTGACAGTGGTTTGTTTTCTTTTCAACCAGTAAAACGCATGTATTAGTGAAACTACTCACTAATACCATAGAGGTAACTCTAAGACAAGTAGGTCCCGAAGAAACGTGCTCAACTTTTTGGCTCACCTCTGGTACTATCTTCGGTCCCAAGCTTGTCGAATCACCCCTCGAAACATAGGAAAAACCAATAACCCCTCATTTTATCTGTCAAACTTTCAAAGCGAATCAAAACAAACATTGCGTAGTACTAGAATTTCGACTAGAATAGGGTACGTTAATCGTTTGCTTGGGACCAATAGGCTACTAAAGTGGTGAGCCAATTTAAAATCGTTAGTTTCGTATTGAATGTTGCTAATACTAACACTAACGGTGGTAGAGAACTCTATTGTATAAGATAGCTGGAAACGACAGTTTGACATAAATTACTTTTCGCAAGATTTCAATACCACCTTGTGTATTCTTGTTCAACTGTAAGAAAAGCATCATCAAACTGTTTGGCTCCCAATGACGGTTCGTGACAGCTTGTTTTTGGCTGATTTTGACGTTCATATTCTTCGAGTCTGTTTTTCTCTCCCAGGTATAAACTAGGTGAAAAACGTAGACACGTAATTTAGAATAACAAATTAATCAAAGATGAATCAGGCGAATCAATTGAAACGTACAAAAAATGTAAAATCATAATCAACGTAAAACGTAATTTTACCACCGACAAACCGAAATGACACTTAATTGCATTGGAAACTACTCATCGTACTGTTTCTCGAACAGATCAGGAGTTCCACAGGGTAGCACTTTGGGACCCCTGCTCTTCTCTTTATTTGTGAACGATGTAACGTTTATTCTACTAAATGGAGGTAAATTGTTTTTTGCCGATGACTTGAAGATTTACCTAGTCGTTCGAGGCTAGGCCGACTGTTTAGAACTACAAAACCTTCTTGAAATCTTTAATGATTGGTGTGAACGTAATGTTATGGTCCTGTGCGTCTGCGTCTCAAAGTGTTACGTAATTAGTTTCCGTCGAACTAGGACTGCCGTTTTGTTTGATTATAACGTTGCTGGGACTGCAGTTCAACGTGTCAATCACGTTAATGTGTCATGTGTCATGTTGGATGAAAAGCTCACGTACACTCGCCACTTCTCAACCACGATCGACAAAGCTAATCGTCAGCTTGGATTCATGTTCAAGATATCTAAGGAATTTCGTGATCCTCTGTGTTTTAAAGCCCTTTACTGTTCATTGGTACGCTCACTACTGGAATTCGCGTGTGTTGTCTGGAATCCCTACCAAGCAGTATGGTGTGGACGATTCAAAGCTGTTCAACAATTAAATTCAGGTTATACCTATCTTCCATGGAGTGACCCGCTGAATTTACCAGCGTAGGCTGACCGCTGTCGTTTACTGGGTTTGGATACTCTTGCTAAGCGACGAACCATATCGCAGGTCGTCTTCGTTGCTAAAGTTTTGCTCGCAGAATTTGATGTTCCTGAGTTACTGGTCATAATTAGTCTGTATGCTCCTGCCCGAACACTCCGTCCGAGAGCTTTGCTACATGAAGAAGTACATGCAACCAACTATGCTGCAAACAGTTCCTTTGTCGCCATGATTCATCAATTCAACGAAGTATCTGACCTATTTGACTTTGATATCAATGCCTACAGATTTCGTCATCGTTTGCTGTCAGCCAATTTTTATTTTTTAATGAGTGACTACATTTAGATTTGAGTGTTTCATTGAGACTATCGAGTCAGATGGACTATAATAATCATATAATATAATATTTCTGAATTATGCCCGAAAATCGTAAACGGCCGATTTAAATTTGCAGTGATCCGAACTGTCAAAACCATAGGATTTTTTGATCTAGATAAAAATAATTTGTTTAGAATAGATCAGACACGAGCAAATTCATAAATTTTGCATGCGGTTTCATGGCTTAGCTAAATATTTCTTGCGAACACGGAGCCAGATGTCAGTAGTGTGCTCTGGTCAGAAATTTTATTAATTTTGCTATGGTCATTCATGTCAGTTTGTTGGTGATTTTACTACTAGGTACCAGACATGTTTTGCATTGTCAGGTACTCTATGTCGTAGTCTGTGAAAGGAATCTTAACTGCACTGTCCTCTGAACTACTAATGGAGGGCAATTAAACCGCAATTTGCGGCAGATGTCACCGCAAACAACTGCACTGACATCTGATGGAAAGCCAATGCAGAAACTTGACTAAACGGTCATTTAACCTCATTTGACAGTAGTTATTCTTACACATCCCTATGCGCTGCACCTCTCCAAAGTCCAGAGCGGCCGATAATGTCCGTCCATTTGCCAGGCGTTGGGAAGCGCTCTTTTCTGAACGTTACATATTTAAGTAGTCAATCTGTTGTGTATTACTCTTCCACATTGTGTTCTCTGTGATGGTATCAAAACAACGACCGACGTAGTCATCGCCTTCGTTGTCGTACGAATGATGACTCAAACGTCTTAAACCCGATCGCTGGAGAGCTGCTGTTGTTGTGTTGCTGATGCTCGGGCAGCTCCATGCCGCATACATAGTGTGTTCTTAGTATCGTTTTAAGCTCGGTCGCGTACGCAAGCGCTTTCCAGTTCGCTCACAATCGCCAATTTGGTTCATAGACGAAGGTAAACACATCACAAGTGCGTGAACGGTTCTCCGTGGGGTGCGGGTTCGCGTGTACAACGTTCATTAGATCTATGTATGATCTATGCCGGAGGCCGATGGCGATCGGCCAATCGATCAGTGCTAGTTTGACCCCGTATCTGTTGCTGCCTGAACGCCGACGTGTGAAATTACACGCATTCCTGTGGATTACACGGTTTCTATCTAGGATTGTAGTGCTACCGCTGTTGGTTGGTTGGTTGGTTGGTTAGCTGCTACTAATCGGTACAATTAATCAGTTTATTAGGATTTGAGTTCATTTGTATCCGTCAACGCGTGGGACCCGGTACGTGCGCTTGTGTTTGCATTATCTTGGACTCCCAATTCGAACGCTTTGAGCACTTATTTGGCGAGCAATTAGAAGAAAATGAATGTCTAGAAATGGCAGCTCTCCAAGGAGTGATATCATACGTTGTAGTTGCTGATGTTGCTGATCGTGCTAGAATAATAACCCGGAAGTCGGAGGTTTGTTTGGTTTCTTCAGAGAAATTTCTTTGTGCAAAATTACCGTTGGAGTTAAGTACACGGATCTGCTACTGAAAAACTGGAATGGAATGCCTTATCTTATCGTTCTGTTGATATGATATATCAGTACCAACATGGATTGACGAAGACAGCGACACTTCAATTGCAATTACTGCTGACTGCTTTATTGCCAGCAAATATGTATATAACGGCAAGAAAGTGCAAATGTGTCACATATTTCAAAGCGGTACATTACATAACACCCATATGCTTCTGAACTTTGATAGTCTGACTCATGCTTCAATACAATGCCAGCATTAAACTATTCAAATTTGAACGACCTTGACACGATGCATCATCCTCCGTTTTCATGAGCGTGGTGATTCATCTGGCGCGTGCGGAAAGGTCTTCAGATGTGCGGCGATGCATTCTCTGTCACGGAGAGGTCAATTGCCTGTCCGAGCCACGTACCACACAGTTTAGTGAAGAATTTCAAGGACCTTGCGCTCGCGATCGCCACAGCAACCTCAGATCGATCCGTTGAACTCGCTGCATGAGGCTGGCTGCTACCGTCGCCATACACGCACTGGCTTTGCGCAGACAGAGATCCTTAGTTTGAGGTGTGTTGTATCTGCCACCATACCGTCTGATGCCCCACCGTTGTTGATACGGATGCTGGGCTGATGGAGAGCAACCACCAGTCGCCAGCTAGTCGGGATCGGTACCTACTCGCTCGAGCGCACATGCTTCCTTTTTGGTCTCATCCGCACCATTATCATCATCATCGTCATCATCATCGAAAGGCGGAGAGCGATTTTTCGCGAGATCGCAGCAATCACAACATTGCTGTTGTTGTTGTGGCAAAAACGTTGACAGAAATTGCGTGCTTTCGGCTAAACATGCGCGCAGCCCGTGCAGCTTGGCACATTCATCATCATGGTGCTGGGTTTTGTTGTTGTTGCGCTGCAGTTCCGTCCGACCGTGCAGTTTGGAATTTATTTATTTCTGCATCATTTTTTTTTTCTTGCCGTACAATGTATGGGCTACGGGATGTTGAGTAGTCGTCCGTTCTAGGAGCGGTCGTTTATGTTATTTATGATATGTCAACGATATGGGCACTTTAGCGAGGCAAACTGGACGTTTGGTTGATGTGACTAAATGGGTTGTGCTCTGGCTTTGAATGCACTTGAATTTATTAATATTATCTAATGTGACATTCTTTCTAAGACATCGATTCATTGCTATCCAACTATCGTAACTAATACTTAACAATCATTTGGGGCAAGTTGATCTGAAATTACTCAAGCTGCTAAAGCGGATTCCTACATTGAAAGTACTTTTTTGCGACATTCCGTTCCTTTTTATTGGGGGAAACCGTGTCATGCTGTATCATGCTGTAAGTGAAATAAAGGCAAAGAGCGGCGGTCCATTCTATGGAGGAGAACGATCCGTTACTATCCGAAGTGAATAAAGATCATTTCACCCATTATTATAGAGCTGCCATGATCAAACCAAATTATTTGGACAAATATAATATAGGGGAGAAGCACCATTTATGGCCCTAGTTCAAATTTTCTCCAGTTTTGACATATACCAGTCATGGCCATTACGACTTAAGGTGCAACAGTTAATCATGAAAATGATGCCTGCTCCTTTTTTTATTAAACTGGCTATCTCTTCAACACAATTGGCTTTCAATACAGAAACAAACCACACTAGACGACTGGTTTTCTTTTTTTTTCGATTGTTTGGGAAATTCCATAAGCTCGTGACACTCCAATATTGGATACAGATGTTCTACATCCAAAATGGCCATAAAACACAAAAAAAAAAACTTTAAAACGCAAAACAGCTGCATTCCTTGAAATTCAAAAATAGAATCACATTGAAACGGCATAATATAATCCCAAAATATACCCAAAAAAATGCTGAATTTAAATGGCTGTAAATTAAAAAAAATGCCAAACCAATCCGAAATTGACCTCATATGTGCCAGTATTATCTGAAAACACTGAAAAAACAACACATGATGAGTATCAAAACGACTAAATAATATTGAATGTAAATAGCAAAGCACATCAAACCGATTTAATAATTTAAAAAAATATCCTGACTCCGGGCTAAAGGGTGATACGATCAAAATTTGGTCAAGGGAAAACGCGTGTAAATCGGTGAAATCGTTTATTTAAAAAATCAAATTAAATTTCTTTTTCAAGTTCAATTAGTATAAAATTCAGGAAAAATATTCAGTTAGGCTTCCGCTTTTCCAAATCCGAATTGCCGGGCCTTACGCTTGACCCCTGCCATCAGATTTTGTACAGCCACCTTGTCCACCTTCTTCGCCGCAGAAAGCCAGTTTGCCTTGAACTGCTGCTCGCCCTTAGCAGTTTTTTGGTCTTCTTTAGGTTCCGCTTGACAATAGCCCAGTATTTCTCAATTGGGCGGAGCTCTGGCGTGTTGGGAGGGTTCTTGTCCTTGGGAACCACCTGCACGTTGTTGGCCGCGTACCACTCCATGGCCTTTTTACCGTAATGGCAAGATGCCAAATCCGGCCAAAACAGTACGGAACAACCGTGTTTCTTCAGGAAAGGCAGCAGACGTTTATTCAAACACTCTTTCACGTAAATTTCTTGGTTGACAGTCCCGGAAGCTATGAAAATGCTGCTTTTCAAGCCACAGGTACAGATGGCTTGCCAAACCAGATATTTCTTTGCGAACTTTGACAGTTTCATGTGCTTGAAAACATCTGCTACCTTTCCCCTTCCTTTTGCCGTATAAAACTCCTGTCCCGGAAGCTGCTTGTAGTCGGCTTTGACGTAGGTTTCGTCGTCCATTACCACGCAGTCAAACTTCGTCAGCATCGTCGTGTACAGCCTCCGGGATCGCGCTTTGGCCGTCGTATTTTGTTTATCATCGCGATTTGGAGTCACTACCTTCTTGTAAGTCGATAGTCCGGCTCGTTTTTTGGCTCGATGCACGGTTGTAGACGATACACCCAGCTTATTTGCGGCATCTCGGAGAGAGAGGTTAGGGTTTCGCTTGAAACTACCGGCAACTCTCTTTGTCGTCTCAGCGGCTTCCGGTTTTCGATTTCCCCCCGATCCAGACTTCCTGGCTGTCGACAAACGTTCCCCAAACACTTTAATTACATTTGTAACGGTTGATTTGGCAACTTTTAGCGATTTTGCCAACTTTGCGTGCGAGTAGCTCGGATTTTCGCGATGCGCGAGCAAAATTTTGATACGCTGCTCTTCTTGCTTGGACGGCATTTTGACAACTGAAGAGTGAATTCCAAAATCAAAATAGGAGCAACATTCTACACACACACACACCTTCAAAATGAGGGGTGTTCAGGTTTTTTAAATGCAAAAGTGAAAGAAATACGTCAAGTTGATATTGACCAAATTTTGACCGTATCACCCTTTAAATTGCAACACCAAAAAGGCCCCATACCGCAAATTCTATAGTCTCCACTTTCAATTGGTTGAAAATAATCCGCAGTATGCCAAGGAACGAACTTTTGATCTGACGCTGCCCATGAGCTTCAACACAGATTCCTTGGCAATAGTTTTGGCCACGTTTGTCCAGTCTTTTTCAAATTCTTCTATTGAATTCGCTGCCTTAAAATGATTCCGTAGATATCCCTTGGAAAGGGCCCAACAAGTTTCGATTGACCGGGCCTCCAGACAATTTGGAGGATTCATCTCTTTTGGCACGTATTGCACATTGTTTGCTTTGTAGCGAGCTACCGTGTCTTTCGAAAGTAAATTACAGTGTTTATCGTCTCCTTCGTCACAAATGGCTTTGAAATATTTTCACACTCAAATATCACTTACCAAAGATGGCCTTCTTAAGGCTTACCATATCAAAAACTTGAAATGGAGGACAATTTATTTAAGGTTTGGAGATTAAGGAGGACAATGATTCCTTTTCTTAACATTAAAGGAGGACAATGAGTTTTTATCAAACGTTTTAATAATATGTGCACTATCACAAAATTCATGATTTGCGAAGGTTCAATTGAGATTGTTCATAACTTGTGGTAGATATCAATTTAATTCATCTTCTCGTTTTACTTCTGAAAAATGTATCAAAGTAGCCTTCATAATTCATGTTTGATACATGGAAATGCTCTCGTCTAGCTGATTTGCATGAAAACTGCAGCTTTACAGCCTTAAAACCATCCCAGCCTTTATCATGTACAAAAATCAGGATACATGTCATCGCTGATTGAAACCAACATGGAACATCTAAGCAAACCTGTTAAATATACCAGAGAGTTTTTCGAACATTATAATTTATTTTCAAAATGTCAAATTTTAGTAAAAATACAGAAAAAAATGATGAATTTTCACTGACTCTTCGAAAATAATATATAATGTTCGAAAATCCCTCTGTTGTTGATCGTCCGATTTTCGAGAAATTGATTGTCAAAATTGATTCCTGGTTTGTCTGAAATATGCAGGTTTATTTAAAAAATTTCCATCCGTCAAATTTA